CAGGGAGATCGTCATGGCCTCCCATAATTTTGGAAATATTTCAGCTAAGAAAGCAGTATATCTTTCCTCGTAAATCCACTTTTACCTTACCTCGGTTAGGCCAGTATCGTTTACGGCATGGAGACAGCTATTCTAACGACGGAGTAAGAACGATGTTCCAACGGAGGGCAGCAACATTGGCTTAGCGTTAACCAACTAGCAAAGCAGCTTTGGCATATCACGAGGGTCAATTTGCAGGACTACGTAAAGGATAATTCCATTTTTTCAGGCAGAAATGACCTCAGTAGCTTCTGAGCTTATGAAAATGAGGTTGGCCCTGTGCGACAGACCGTTTGAATATATCATATTTACTCCCGTCAATGAGATTCTTGCGCTAGGAGTCAAAATACTGCAAACCTCGACCGGGAGGCCACCAGGCACCATGGACGAACAGGGCAGAAGCAACTTTTCTTTTCTAGAGAAATACCTGTTTTCTTACTGCGATAACCGGCGCCTTATAGCAAATGGGTCGAAGGCTGAGTGTACAACGGACATCACGAACCAGAGTCGTTCTGCTCATGCAAACGGCTCAAGGTTATATAATGTCAACAAACACGCACACCGTTAACTGATGCTTTCGTTCAAGCACAAGGTATATAATAATAGACTATGTTACCATACATTCACAAGTATACAATAATCCACTTAAGACTTCGATGGCTCGAAGATTAATCAGTGATATTTCTTTCAGTAATGGTATCGGCATTATTATACTACTGTACTATCCTATAGTGCCTAGTATTTTGGAATTCTGAATGATCCTACGGAATCCTGAATAATCCTACTAATGTGAATAATCCTTTGTTGACACCAAGTGGATATGAAGGCAGTAAACGCTACATATATCCTGGCGAGGCAGAATACAAGTCTCAAAACTTTGGAGGTCGTTTCTCCATGTCATGGCGCCAATTGACATGCTGAATAAAAAAGTATGACTATCGAGTTGGCAGAGTTTACCTCAAACTTTAAAACAATTTATGCATAGTTAGGATATTCGAGCTTAAAGGAAAGTATAATACCGATGATTCAGTACTGATCATATTACTGGTGTTGGCAACGAAACTCATCGATTAATAAGTAAAACCTTGGTACCACAAGCATGCATAAAAAATGGTCCATAAACGAAGATATCATTATGTAGGGGTCTGATGCCAAATACATTTACATGCTGTTTATTCAAAGGTTCATGTTTAGGGAAACTGAAGCAAATGCCATTACAACCGCAAGCCCGGAGAGTCAAATTTAATAAAATGTTGGGTACGGGATCTACGATTTTGTCTGTGATAGCCAACCGATACATTTTAGAGCGTCGCATTCAAACCCATGTCTTTAACTCCCCGAAAATGGAGGCATTGTGTTGATGATACGTTCACCATCTGCTGAAAAGCGAATGCGAATGAACTGTTGATCCGCCTAAACAACATAACGCTGTGAATACAGTTTACCATGGAAAAAGAGGAAGGTGACACGATTCCGAACAATAAGGTGAGTCGCCTAGCCGGTGACTCGATAGAAACGTCGGTATGCAGAAAAGCTGCGTACACCGATCACTGGGCCCTTGCCACTAAGGCTGGAGTGATTAAATACCTCAGAGATCGAGCCCTCGACCGGTGTCATAAAACGGACGCTTGAAAATAAGTAACGACGCACTGGAATGAAATGGATGCCCAAGAAATTTAATTGGAATGTATCACTGCGCAGAACCGGACGATATCTGAGACCAAAGCAAGACACCTATAATTAAATACCTGTTTTTCGACTCTGTCAGAATCTGACAACAGACAGGTCCGGAACATAGCGAATATTAGTGCCGCCTTCCAGTCTAAAGGTAGCTAAGATTGATGCCAGTAAGGGTAAAAGACGGAATACCCCATGAAGACAAAGGATGTGGTGTACCAAAGGGATTTCCTGACTTGTAATATACGGTGCATTAGCCATCATGGGTCAGAGTTGCTGAGCACAGACGAATAGAAAACGAATCAGTCGAGGGCCTAGAACTATTACCAAGGTTGGAAATCACTTCTATACCGGTCTATCATCATAATACGACTGAAAACCGTATCGTTTTCGCGATCTGGGATGCACTGAACATATCTGAACGAGTCTTGTAACAAACCTTTCCTATTCAGACAACGTATTATATTATGAATCGGGACTGTGGGCCCAGAAGTGTATAAGATACTGATTAACCTGCATAAAAGACTTGTAAAACCAAACCCATTTCGATTTAGGGGGACGCTTCGCTGGTACCTGCCGAACATGGAGAGCGCGAGAAGGCGACGGTCAAGACCCAGCATGTTAACGATCCCAAATATTAGTACAACATCGAACGGCTGGCTTTTGTTGATAAAAGGTTTACAAAACTGGTGAACTTCATTACTGAATGATGAAAGCTAGAAATTTTGGCCAAAACCTGGTCCCATTTATACAGAAAATCGTCTTCTTCTTCAGCTTCATCTTCTTGGGTCGCGGAGGCAGACGAGTCAGACAGAGCTTCCAACGTTCCCGATCCTGTGCCAGACAACTGTAGTCTGGAACATACTCCTTCCATATATTTGCACCAGGTTAATCTTGGCCGTCCGCTGGTCCTTCTGCCGATCAGATTCACAAGAAATAGCTGCACAGCCAGCCTTCCTTTCTGGAGGCATTCGC